CATACCCACACCCAGGTGGTTGGAAGGCTCTAATTGGCCAGAGCGTTTCTATCCCATCATAGTCCCTCTCCTGATTCTATAGTCTTGCTTGGAGCTGTGATGAATTGATCTGCCACCAGCCATGATTCTGTTCCATGGCCTGTTCAAGTAGCGTCGGGATTGTGACTCATGCTGATGGTCTCCTCTTCCACATGAATTGTCTTTGTTCTGTTTAAGAATTCATAAACGGGGCTCTATGAATTATATTGAAAGTTGGGGTCTCTTCCCCAGCCACCCCACCCCCCACCCCCCAAACAGTTGCTACAAGTCAGAATGGACTTGATGGCCGTGGGAGCACAATGCAGGTGCTGTGCGAAAGATGTGCGTAAAGAGTATGGGTGCTTTCCTAGGGCTCTGGAGAAAATAGATTGTATACATAAAGATTTGGGAGCCAGAATTTCTGCATTCAAATTCCATCCCTACCACTCATTACCGGGGGATTTGGAGCACATTATTTAACGCCTCGGTATTTCAATTTTCCCATCTGTAAAACGGGATAATCAGTAATACCTACTTCACAGATTTATGGTAATGATTAGCTGAGTTAATATGCGCATAGAGCGATACCTGGGAGTGAGTGCTTGGATACATAAGTGTCTGCTTAATATAAAACAAATCTCCTCCAAGGAGTATGAGGACTAAGTTTCACTTGCTCCAAGCCAGGGCATTTTCAATCACCTCATATACATGTGAAAGCTGGACTAATGCCCAGCTGAGCAAAATGTATGCATTTGAATTAAGGTGTTGGCAAAGAATAGTGAAAGAATCATGTCCTTCCAGAAGAATAAACAAATCGACATGCCCTTTGGACATGTTATCAGGAGAGTCCAGTCCCTGGAGAAGGACATCACGCTTGGTCAAGTAGAGGGCGAGTGAAAAAGAGGGAGGCCCTCGCTGGGCTCACACATAAGGACAATAAGGATGGCCCGGGCCGGGCAGTCTTTTGCTCTCTTGTACACAGGGGCATATGAGTTGGGACCAACTCACTGGCATTGACCAACAGCAGCATCTTAGAAGAAAGTACGGGCAGAGAACTCCTGAAAAGAGAGGATGGCAAGACTGCGTCTCACATACTTTGGACATGCTATCAGGAAGAATCAATCCCTGGAAAGGGACATCATGTTTGGTAAAGCAGAGGGACAGTGGGAGAGGAAAAAAAAACGCAGACCCTCAACAAGAGAGACTGACCTAGTGGCTACAACAATGGGCTCTAAGATAACAATTGGGATGAAGGCAGTTTCGTTCTGTTGTACACAAGGTCGCTGTGAGTTAGCGCTGACTCGATAGCATCTAATAGCAACAACAACAAGCAATAAGCTCTCCTCATTGCTCAGGTCTCATTCAGTATTACCTTTGAAAGATTTCCCCGGATGCCTCCCCTCATTCTAGCAGGTTACACAGAGATACATGTTTCCAATAGCGCCTTCAGTTTGCCAGGGCTACAGCAGGTGTCATCTTCTCTGTAATTTGATCACTGTAATTGTTAGTATCCCTCGGTTGATCTATTAGATCATTACTCTAATTTCTCTATCCCCAGAACCTGAGCCATAGTAGGCCGTCAATAAATGTATTATCTGGTTACT